TCTCCCTCTGCCTGCTCCCCCTGCTTGTGCTCTCTCTCTCTCTGACAAATAAATAAATAAAATCTTTTAAAAAATATTCATAGGACACCAGGAAGAAAAGGATAAAAACTTCGAAAAAGGGGCCAAAAGTTGAAAGAAAACCAGGAGAAAATGAGATGGCAGAAAACCAATAAAAAGGGGGCTTTGAACAACAGAAACCCACAAAACTTAGTATTAACACGTTCATCTCCAGATGAAAAATCCCATATATAATATCTGAATTGAGTCATCTGCCTAGTCCTTGCAATGTAATTTACTGAGCTATACTGGTAAATAGCTTAGCTACCTTACCCTTCTGTTTCATAGATCTTCAGCAGGAACAGTAAGGAACTGTACTAATCAGGAACCTTACCAATCAGAACCGATTCCTGAAGTCTTTTCTGCTTTAACTCCCTTTGATATTATAGATGTTTGTTCAGAATTCAGAGCTCAGATTTTTCTGTGTTTATAGAAAACAAAGTAAAATGTGTTTCATCTATACTACGACGTGGCAGGAACTGCAGCTGGTTATGACTTATTTCCAAAGAGGGAAGAGGCAAGACTTTGGAAACATAGTTCACATAATTCTAACAGTCTGCAGTCATGTGAAACTTCAAGAGTTTAAAGCAACAGAAGAAGTGGGACTGCTGTTTGTTAGGCCTGCTGGACCACATGGCTTCATTTACATCGTTACAGTGAGCTGTGATGTGGGGCTGAGGTTAAAAGTTTAGTCTTCAGACAAAACAGGTGATTCAGATGTTGTCACAGTGAAGGTCTTGGCCAGATACTCCCACACAGACTGTTTCTGGTTTTTACAAGAAAACTAGTTGTTCATCGACTTGAAAGTGTTTGTACACACATGTCATTTGTGTGTTTTTCCTGAATCAGTTTTGTTCTGCAAAGAACTAGCGACTACGTACTTTGTGTAAACACAGTGCTGGACACTGCTGAGGAGTACAAAGATGGGAATGACACAGACCCAGGCTGCAGTGAGCTCACCATATAACAAGGGTAGTCACATGTGTTTGGGGGTGTGCTCTTTACAGTCAAGAGCAGTCGCTGCTATGGTGTGTTCCATTACAGACACAGACGACACACCGGATTTCTAGATTTGAGCTGTAACAGCAGAGGGCCTTTGAAAGTAAGAGATAGTATGCATTTGAGCCTGGCTATCAGCCAGAACATTAATTCAAGGTGATGCAAATTTACATGAAGATGATATTTAAGACAGAATAAAATTTCATCTCCCCGGGCCCCTCCCCTTCCCAAGGGAGGGAAGAAGGAGCTTTTAGAAGAAGAAGGGAGTTGGGTAGTACATTGAGACTCTAATATTTTGATAACCTGTGAGGTTCTTCAGCTCCCCTCCGTTTATGTTATTTATATGTGAAGGAGGGTTCTGAAAAAGCAAGAAATTATATATATAACAGCCACTTAAATAGCACTGACTTTGTGCCAGGCACTGTTCTAAGTGATTTACAAATATTAACTCAGTGCCTTTAATAAATGTATAAAGCCTTATTATTCCCATTTTGCAGATATAAACTTAACTTGAGGCACAGAAAGTTTAAGTAATTTGCCCCAGTCATGTTTACACAATTTTATTTTGTCGAAAATTCTCAGAGGTAGAAGTGGCCTAGAATACTGTTATGAAGGAAAGTGCAGCTCCTGACAGAGGACATTATAGGTAAGTTCAGTCCCCAGGCTCAGAACTTTGGTGCATCATCAATGCCCCTCTCTCTACTCTTCAGAACCCATTGCTTATTCCTTGGAACGTCCCTCAAAGTTACCGCTCTTAGACCAGGGCTCTGGGTCCCCACATCTCAGGGACTTTATGCTTTGGAGTGACTTCCTCAATTCTTTTCTAGGTCCCTTTCTGATTCCTGGAGTTGGCTGGCCTGGGATTTCTAGTAGTACCATTCTGGCAGATGTCTCATGCCTGGGATAGGTCTGGTGTAGCCTGTGTCTCCTTTCAGGGCGCTATCTCCACCTTTACTGATGAAAGACAGACCAGGACCACTCTTGCATCCTCTCCAGTCTAACTACAGATCACCTTTCCAACGCCATCTCTCAGCTTGTCGTGTGACCACACATTACGTCTATAACAACACTGAACCTCTGGCTATTCTTCAACATGGCTGTCCCTTTCTCATCTAACATTTGCTTTTAGTATTCCTGCCCTATTTCTGTCTTTCCCATTTCTCTCTGTCAAAATTATACCCGATCTTGAAATTCTCACATGTCTCCTTTTCTCTGACCCTTAAGTCAGATGCCACATCTTTTCACTTCCTGTGCTTATTTATAAGGCTCTACCTCTTTTGTCAGTTCCCCACCCTCACCCCGCCCTTGCGAAGCTGACTTAAATGGCATGAAGACTAAGAAATGTGGCCACGGTTAGGGTTCAAATTAGTCAAATATTCATTTGTATTGGCAAAAACATATTTTTACTGCTGCCCACCATTGGCGCTTAGATGATTACCTTTGTTAAAGAGAATCACAGACATTAAAAGGAATATGAAGCTATGCTCTTAGTGGAAGCTGATAACAGGAATAAGCTTGAAGTTCTCAAGATGAAAAGCCCAGATGCTATTTTGAGTCAAAGCTAAGAACAAACACAGTCTAAACCAAGACAGTCTAGAAACCTTATTAAATGACATGCGTCCACAAAGACATTTTTTCTTTTGGAAAAGAATAGAGTCAGAAGAAAGCAGATTCCTATTTATTGCCTTTGTTGTCTTAAAAAAGCAGATTCTGCCAAAACTATAGCAGTCATGCAGATCTTGGCATCTGTGATCTCTAACAGGTTTCAGATTTCCAAAAATGACTTGAAAATCACATGTCAGCAAACTAAAGGGGTAAAGGGAAATGCTGATAGGGAACAAGTGAGTTTTATGTGCTCTTGAAATTCTCAGAAAAAAAAATATGCAAAATGTTAATCAGAGAGCCTTTAATCTTTCATCTTCTCTTTATGACAGTGATTAAGCTCCTAATATCTTTAAGAGACTTAGGCAAAGAAAACTAGCAGGAAAATCAGTACAGCAAATGACAAACATGCCCTGGGTGTGGATTAGACTGAGAACCAGCGTCAGTGTGAGCATGTATTTGAGTAACACTTTCTCTGGATTGGTAAACTTAGAATTTGTAATATTTTTAGTCTAAAACACATTGAAACACAGATATAGATATGAAGTCATCGATGTAATTAGAACAGGCAGTCTGGTGATGAAAGATTAGATACCTCTGATTTCATCTAACTCTAGCCCACACCTATTATAGATGAGCAGAAGAAGACTCCAGAATAGTAAAGTGACTTGTTTAAGTTAGCAGCATAGCTGGTGACAAGATCACAATTAGAATCAGGTGTCTTGTTTCCTAGCGTTCTATCCACTACTTCACATCGCTTCTCCTTTTTAATTCCTCTCCAGTCAGCTTAAAACATGTTTTTAGAGCCTAGACTACTGTGGTTATCTTACTGTCAGGGATGAACAATTTGAAAATAGATCGAAGATCAAAGTTGTATTTATACTGCTATTGTGAAGGAGCCCAAACTGATGGCTTAAGGAAGCCCTTATGCCAAGAGTGAATCAGGTAGTCTGTGATAGTGTACTCAGGGGCTGGAATGCCATTTGGCTCATCATTAGCCCACCTGAACTGCTAGCTATGATGACAGAAATATAAATAGGAGGATATTTTTGTGTTTTGCAGATTTAGAATTTTGTGTGTGTGTATGTATAATTTATATGTAAAAAGGATATTTGCTTTATTTTATTTATTTTTTTATTTATGAAGGTCAGGACCTGTATTTCCTGAAATTGGTAGTGATTGGGGGTGCCTCGAAACAAACTATCACTACTTAGCTAAATATCTCTGGTACATGAACTAAAGGCATGTGGAAAGGGCAAGGAAGTATAGACCAGATTTTGATTAATAGGGCATTTGAATTTTCCAGGTAAACATGTGCACAGGACCTTGAATTTTTTTTAAGTAATTCAACATTGTATTTATTTGTTTGAAATAATTCTGGAATTGATGTGTAACAGGAAAGCTTTCAGACCTATGCAAGTCCACCAGTTACAAGAATTAGACTTTCTTTAAAAAAACAAAGACGTGTTTATTCAGTTGAGTATAAACTGCAGTTTAAAAAAAAACTATGCCCTAAAGCACTTTACTTTCTAACTCTAAAGCAGAATTTTTTTTTTTTTAAGATTTTATTTATTTATTTGACAGAGAGAGATACAGTGAGAGAGGGAACACAAGCAGGGGGAGTGGGTGAGGGAGAAGCAGGCTTCCTGCTGAGCAAGGAGCCCGATATGGGGCTCGATCCCAGGGCCCTGGGATCATGACCTGAGCCAAAGGCAGATGCTTAATGACTGAGCCACCCAGGCGCCCCTCTAAAGCAGAATTTGAGGGAAGTTACGAAACAGGGAACACAAAGATGTTTCTTTACTGCAAACATAGGCCTTGGAGTCCAGGAGAGGATACATACCTCTGCAAATGAACTTTCAGAAGGGCCAGCCAAGGACAAGGTGTTTTGTTATGTAGATAGCCCAGGTTGTCCCTAAGAGACTCACACTAGTAACAGTTCTTAGACCAAATCTCTCCCTTTCCGAAGCCTCTCCTAATGCACTCATTTCTGAACTCAGAAATATGTCTTTTTATTTATTTGCATCCCTGTTCTCCTGAAGTGATAGAAAAGGGCACACACCACGGTCAAGGCTATCCACGTAACATAGACTTCAAGCAGGCATAGGTCCAGGAGGGTGGGGCTCCGTATGTATTTCTCTTGAAAACTGGGTTAGAAATGTGACCTAATGCTAGAAAAGTCTGTAGCTCCCAAAGAGGAGCGCTGGCGACGGTGGCAAGTTGCCATCCTGACGGAATTGCACAATCGGCTTCCAGGACACGTTTCTCTGGTTTATTTTAGGAACCAGTAAGCTACACTAGAGGGCAGACTAACCTAGACCTTTTTTTTTTTCCCCTTCCAGTGAGAGTTTAATCCTTTGTGTTTGACGTGATGCATTATACAAATTGGATCCTACAAGAGATTAAAATTGTAGCAGTGTTTCATTATCATTCATGGAGATCGTGCCTCAGATGGAATTCCCTCATTAAACTTTGGACTTAGGGCATTTAATGTCTTAAATGTTTCATTTAGGTAAGATTTAAGGACAATAAAAACAACAAAAAGCTTGTGAAAATAGTGGATGGCATATGATGATTGCAGGTTGTGTTCATGGAAAGCATGCATCACTATGAGAAGGTGGTAATGAGCAGGTACATACCAGACCCTTCTCCAAAGGAACAGAAAATATATGAGACATTGTCACAGTAAGATACATTGGATTCATAACACCAATTTATGCCCAATATGGTGCTTAGTAATTTCTCATTTCTTAAACTATGAAATCTCATTTCTTTTCTTTTATGTGAGTCTAAAGACCAAGAAGACAAACTGTGTGGAAGTAGATTGCCCCAGAAATAAACTCAGCACTCTCCTGGCTAGAATGGTCCTACGTCACCTCAGAATCTTCAGCCCTCTTAGTAATTCTAAGATGTGGTGGAGATGGGTGCAGAATTTTCAGACTGGTCATTGGGCATAGATATGATGATGAAACTGGTTGACACAACTTTTCACTGTTTCTGTAAATTTACCCAACTAATAGGTATAAAGAATGAATATTTTCATAAGCTATGAATATTTTTCATAGCTAGTATATTGGGGTTGTCCAGAGAAACAGAATCAATAGGAGATTATATCATATATTACATCATATATATATATATATATATGATTTATTATAAGGAGAATTGACTCAGCTGATTCTAGAGGCTGTGAAGTCCCCAGATCTTCAGTCAGCAAGCTGGAAACCCAGAAGAGTTGAGTTCTAGTTTGAGTCTGAAGGCTGGAGAAACAGAGCCAATGGTAATAGTTCTAATCCTAGCCTAAGTCTGAAGGCAGGAGAAGACCAATGTCCCAACTTAAAGACAGGAAGAGGGAGAGAGGAAGCAAATTCTCCCTTATTCAGTCTTTTTGTCCCATTCAGCCTTCAGTGGAAGGGATGTGAGGCATACCCACATTGGGAAGGGTGATCTACTTTATTCAGGCTATTAACTCAAATGTTAATCTCACCCAGAAAAATTCTCAACAGACACACACAGAATAATATCTAGCCAAATATCTGGGCACCTTTTGCCCAGTCAAGTTAATACATAAAATTAACCATTGTAGCTAGTCTCTTTTGTCATATTTATTTCATGCTTTAGAGACATAAAGTGCTTCCATAAACATTCTTTCTTTTGTTCCTTACCACAAACCTGGGAGCTGGGTAGGGCATACTGTCATTAACACATGGTTACTTATCACAGGTGGTTACCGTGATTATAAGTAATTAAGACTCTTGGGCACCTGGGTGGCTCAGTCGTTAAGCATCTGCCTTTGGCTCAGGTCATGATCCCAGGGTCCTGGGATCGAGCCCCGCATCGGGCTCCTTGCTCCGCGGGAAGCCTGCTTCTCCCTCTCCCACTCCCCCTGCTTGTGTTCCCTCTCTTGCTATGTCTCTCTCTGTCAAATAAATTAAAAAAAAAAAATCTTGAAACAAAAAAGACTCTGAATGATCTTCATGCCTTTTACAGATTGTGAAAATGAGGCAATAGAGAGATTTTGTAATTTGACAAGCATACAGTTTGTATCAGATCTTCCAACTCTTAGTCCCAGGCCCTTTTGACTACATTTCACATTTATTTCAAAGTCAAAATAACAGCTACAACAGCAACCAAATCTCCAAAAGATTCATACTCCGACATACAAAGAAAATCTCCTTGGCTAAATTTGTCTTGTGTTATAATGTGTGTCGAGTCCCTCTAATAAGCTTGGCACATTAGAGTAAATGTAACTTGAACTCAGTGGTGGTAGAGATTAAAATGGTCAAGAAGTAAATGAAGTAAGTATGTCAGCATACTTAAATCACAGAGCTAGGGGAACTGCCCCTGCCTGAAGACTTCTTCCCCACTAAGGGACTTAGATTCGTCAGATTCCCTTTTGTTTGTTACTTTTCCCAGACAGCATTTCCTTCCCCAAATAAAACACTCCTGGGACACACATAGCACATTTTGTTCATCAGAGTCTTTCATTCTGTGACCAAGGCCAGCAGGGCACACTAAGGGTTTAGCCTCCCAGCGATAGCAGAGATACTAAAAGGAGGCGAAGAGCACGGAAAGGGGAAAGGTTTGCTGAACCAAATTCTCATTCTCTTGATTTTATGATTATAGAGCAGCCATCAAGACAAGATTTGATGTAACTTCTTTCTGTACTTGTGAGAGTTCAGTAGAGTCGCAGCTGACCTGGGGACAAGACCTAAAGTTAGCACATAAGGCTAAAATCACACACAGTCAAAATCACTCTTGAAAATCTTAAATCATCCTTAAAATATAGCATACAGGGTTTTACAACCCTGTTTAAAACAATGTGTATGCATAAATGTACGATATATAGCATGTAATAAAAACCCAAATACAAAATTTTTAGAATATTGTTTTACACAAGAAACACATATATTAAAACACTAAAACCTCACTCCGCATGGCATGATGCTCATATTTTGAGGGTCGTGTCAACTGAGGCTAGCTCAGACTCTCATGTACCACTTTCTCTCATTCTGTGGCTTAAGCTCATTTAGTGGAATGGCAAATTGACTTGCAATGTAATTTTTTTCTTTTAATTTTTAATTTTGGCATAATTTCTGACTTAATGAAAAGTTGCAAGAATAGTACAAAGAACTCCCCACTGTTAACATTTTAGACACATTTGCTTCGTTCTTTTCTCTCTCATGTATTTTTGCAGATTTAAAAAATCGTTCTTCTCATTTGTGCATGCATTATTAAATCTACATATTTTAAGTGTACAAATGATCCACCTTCACTCTAATTGCATCTCAGAGAAATTATGACAGCGATTTAATCAATGTTGCTGGTGTGCAATAGGAGCTAATAAAAATGGGTGAATCAGAGATGAGTGAAATAAAGGTGCCCAAAATGTTGACCTGGCCAAGCAATATGAATCCTAGTAATAATAAAGAATAGAAAGCAGACACTTCACTGTTGGTAAGAATGCTGAATTACAAAAATCACCACCAAACCAGAATAAAGTCCATCTTTTTGAAATTTGCATCACTAATGAGCTATTATACTTTCGCGTTTTTTTTTTTTAACGTACGGATGCAAGTGACATGTATGAGCTCATAAATAATTCAAAGATCCACTGTGAGTTCTCACCTCTGATTTCCATTGTTCCTCAGCAGAGGAGGATGGCTTTCTATTACCGTTGGAGCTGGAAGAATTGTTACCCTGCAGTATTATTGTTATTAACATTATTGCATGTGATTATTGTGATTACAAGTGATTATTCTTACAAGTATTTATTAATATCCTGAATTATCTGGTCTTCAGACATCAAGACACAACTCATGCATTTCAAAACATCACTCACTGCATCTTAATGTCTGTTAGCCCATGACACTGGTCAGTAAATTACTACCTGATAGTGCTTGTCTTTGACTATCTTTGTGCTCTTGTACAAGCTTAACAATTAAATTATACTTTCTTAAACAATTTGTTGCAAATAATAAAACATGCTAAATCAGTAATACCCAAAGAAGAGGGAACCACAATGAATAAATCAAGTCAATTGAAGTTTATTGCTCCTTTAGTGATAATACTTTGTCCGCTGGTTGCCTTATGGTTTTAATGATATATTTGTAGTATGGTTTTTAAATCTGTGTACATATAACTAGGCTCCATGACTTCCTTTGTTTGTAGAACACTTTGTTTTATTTTAGTTAGCACATCTCCCCCCTCCCCCCCAAAACAATGAAAAAAGTGGAATGGTCATTGATTGTTCTGAAGCTTAGAGAGAAACCAGCCTTTCAGACAGAGCCGAGGGAATGTTGAGCAACACCAGCTGCTTGCTCTTATCTATTACGTAACATGGACTTTGGACATAGAGGTAATGGAACTGCAGTAACACGAATAGAATAAAATGCCTACTGTGGATGGAGCACAGTGCTGGACATTTTGGAAGGAGATTTAAGGTAGTCTGAGAACAGGGAGACAGAGGACACGGGTCTGGGTCCTAGATTGGCCATTCACTAATTGTGTGATCTTGGGCAAATACCCTAAAGGAAAGGTGAGATAAAGAATCCCACCTTTAATGGAGCATTTACTGGGGGCAAGAATTTATCAAAAGTCATGCCATTTAATCCACACAGTAGTCCCAGAGAATGATGCTCTATGCTATCCATGGGGAACCTGAGGCTCGGGGAGGTCGAGTAACCAGTCAAATTCAAAGAGCTAGGTAAATGGAGGAGGGTGGGCGAATGTAATGGTTAAGACCATGGGTTCTGAGTCAGGCAGGTGGAGGTTCAAATCCTCTATCCTGGCTCTGTCGCTTATTGACTGTGTGCCCTCAGGAAAGTTGCTTAATAACCTTTATTTTCCCAATTTCTAAATTGGGCATATAATTATCCTTCTATCTTCTAGGATTGTTGAGAGGTATAATTAAGATATTGCTGGCAGCTGCTTCTATCAGTACTTGAACCTATGAAGTGTTTAATTCTTTAGTTACGGTATTATTTTACGACAGAACTGGAGTTTTTTAAACTCAAAAGCCCACACATAACAATAATGACCCTTCTCTTTTCTTGTATCATCAAATTATCGTGGGATTGGTGAAATAATGTGAAGAAAGTATCTTGTAAATGGATATGTGTGCACATCTTTGTGATTGCTCTCTTTCTTATGAGTATGTCTTGGGTCTCCAAATGTAAGCTTCTGAAAAGTGGAGTCATGTTTTCATTTTTTTCTGGACCCTGTGTTGCTAACTCACATCTCTGAAAACATAAGGTGCACGATAAGCCCTAATTCAGTAACTCTTATATATCTGCAGTATTTTACTCAAATTAGAAACTACTTGTATTTCATAGTTATTATTTTTGATGGAAAACTATATAATCCGATTTGTCTTATATAGAAGAAGGGTATTATTGAGACCCAAGAATGTTATTAGAGTCCAGCAGTCACACTTTTATGATATTATAAATCTCCCTCTTCCACATGTCTTAAATATTGTTCATAGCAACCAGAAATCATTTTAAAGGGGCAGGTTACTATTTTTAATACCCACAGGCGTTTCATTCTTAAACTCCTTTCTTGCCTGTATTAATTGCTACCCTTACCCAGTACTGAAATAAATGCATATTAA